TAAAAAAGTAAGAAAAATCTAGAGAGAATCATTGCCCGCCAAATTTTCAATGGCTTATATCTTGAAAACAAGCACACGGACCCTTCATTTTTTTCTGCTTTTTTAGTTCCTTTATTTATATAAAATCATTTTAGAACAGTCTCTTAAAAAGCTTGTTATTTTGAAGCAGAGTAGCAAACGTCCTTTAGTGCTTCATTCTTTGTAATTTCGTGTGATTGGACCGGAATTGAATACAAGATACAAGATAGTTTATTGAGCCAAGTTTGGCGTCCATTGCTGATCATAGTAATCATTTATAACTTGCAAAACAAAATAATACATTAAACAAAATAAGTTACAAGTTTACAGAGTTTTAAGGTTACCTATTAACCGTCTGAGATCATCAACTTTGCCTAGAAAGACCTAGAAACAAGTTGAATGTAGACTACCAGATGGTATTCGCAGAGAAAGGACACCAATATCCAAAACAATAAAAGAGCAAATTATGCAAATTATTTTTATTTCATTAAACTTTGTTTTAATTCCATGTAATTTGGAAACTGTTCTTTTGGTGTACATTTTAAATTTTGAAGATATTTTACAGGTTACAAGCAAGGATTTTAGTAGTAGGAATTCTATTAAAAATAATCCTTGTACAAAGTATAAATAAACAAGAATGTGTCCATAGTACACGGATACCCCACTCGCACTATCATTTTCTATGTTCAGTGGACCGTGAAATTAGGATCAAAACTCTAATTTGGCAATAAAATTAGAAAGATCATATCATAGAGAACATGTGTACTAAGTTTCAAGTTGATTGGACTTCAACTTTATCAAAAACTACCTTGACCAAAAGCTTTAACCTGAAGCGGGACAGACGGACAAACGGAAGAACGAACGAACGGACGCACAGACCGAAAAACATAATGCCCCTCTACTATCGTAGGTGGGACATAAAAATCTGTCCTGATTTTAAATCTTGTCAAATTCTCATATTGATATCGTGTTTGGGTTTTTTTTCCATGGCGTTGTCAGTTTTTCTCCGCCTCTCAGATTTTGATAGAAAGTCTAATCCAATCTGATTTAAATTCAGATCTTTCACAACTTGCGTGCTCGTATTACATGCGGATAACGAAATCAGAGATCTATATGTTAATAAGATTTAGTATAATCAAGGCTAAATTTACTGCCGAAATTTACCCACAGCAACTTACGTTAAATAAATCAAATATTAACAGCAATAATTGTTCTTTCCTAGATTTAAATTGTTCAGTTTTACACCAGAAACTCTACCCAAAAATTTACGACAAAAGGGGTGATTTTTTCTTTCCCTATTGTTAATTTTCCTTTTCGGACGGTGATGTTCCTCTGGCACCATCTTACGGTGTTCGTTCGTTATATGCCCGTGTCTGTAGTGACGTTTTGGATTTCAATGAGCGTAATCTATGTATTACTGGTAAATTATTAAGTCAGGGATTTCGTTACCACAAATTACTTAAAACCTTTACTAAATTCTTCCATAAATACAAAGATTTGGTTTGCAAGTTTGGCTGTACCCGTAAAAAAACTTATTCAGACGGAATAGCACATCCTAAATTTTACGGTGATGTTGTTTACCGAGCCCGGAAACTTATATACGATCCGGGTAAACTTATCAATCCTATAAATAAACTTATAAATCCTTTAGATAAACTTATTCTAAAAGGTTACCAATTCAACACTGTAATTAGATTTTTGAATATTGTTTTATTGGTATGAATATTGATTTTGTTACCAGTAAATTAAAATCATGCTTAAAGTTTTGTTATACACATATGCACTTTAACGGTACTACAATCTCGTCGATCGTTTGGCATTTTGGAATTACACAAGGTCATGTTTTTCTCTGAATGTTAATGACGTCTTTACACTAAATCCATTGGATTGATATTTTAGTCTTAGATACATGATTTTTTTATTATTTGTTTTTAGCTTTGAACTAGCTGGGTTTTTCTCATTGATGAAGGCCGTACGATTTCCTATAATTGCTTACATCCACTTTATTTGAACTTTGGTGGATAGTTGTCTCATTGACAATCATACCTCATCTCCTTATTTTTATAAAGAACACAAAAATATTAATGCCAGGGCTTTTGAGATATTTTTGCCAAAATGTTTGTCATTTCAAAGAGATTTATAATCCCTTAATACATCTAGAGCCATTGAGAAGTATTAATTAGTTCTTAGTCCTCTTCGTGTTCTTAAATATACAAATCATCAGCAAAGGAACTCCAACCAGTTCTATGTTTCGCCATTCTATCTAGCTGCGACTGTAACCATGTCTTTTAATCTCCGCAAGTGTGTTTCTTTTCCATGTACATTATGGTCTTTCTGGATTCCTTGTCCCCTTGTGCTTGGTGTCAAAGTCAACACTTTCTTCACATGTCGGTTCTTATCCATACTCCTCAATCTTAAGGCCTTATGCCACATATGCGCGACTATAAAATGTGAATCATTTACGAATCACGAATTAGACTCAAATGTGATTTTCTCTCTTTGTTTTGTCTTCTCAGTTATAGGACCACTGTATATGACCAATATACGGTTCCATCTCCTCTTGATCTCATTTACCGGTTTGTTTATCACACCTGTTTTGGCTATCTGATGTTCATAATTCTTCTCAAACAGCCGATGATCCCTCAAATCCTCACTTATTCGACTTTCAAAGTGTTTACAGTTGTTCGTCATGTTTATGCACCCGGTACAAAAAGACTGATTTAACGTTACTTACATAAGTCTAATGCTTTTCTAGATTTGAAAAAAAAAATTCCTTACTGATGTCATATTTATCAAGGTTTTTGAATGCACCAGCTGCCGCGTTTTCCAATATTATTGTTGACGTCCTCTTCAATATTTCCATCTGCATTGATTGTACTTTAATCCAAGATAGTTATAATAGAGAGGCAAACAAATGATGATTATACCAATGGGACTTTCAAATTCATAAGTAGAACCTTTGACAAACAGTGAAGGGCAACGCCGTGGCAAAATACGAAAAACGACCACTGAAAAGGCAAACAACAGTATACAAAACACAACATAGAAAACTAAAGAATGAGCAACACGAACCCCATCAAAAACTGTGGGTGCTCTCAGGTGCTGGGAAGATATAAGCCGTAGCTTCTGTTCCACATATGACACCCGTTGTGTTGCTCATGTATAAGTACATACAACTTGAAGAATTTATTTGCTCCAGTTTTTCACTTTTCCTGCCTAGGGTGTAATTATGTAGGTCTTTTGCTGCATATGTTCATATGTGTGAGAAGGGATCGATCGAGTATGGTGTCTTCCAAAAATATTGTTAAACTGTTAAACACTGTAGTTGTTACTCCTTTGTTGAAAAGGATAGATCCGGAAATTCTTAAATAAATATTGCCGTAAGCGAGTCGGTGTTTTGGTAGCAATACACAGTTAGGAAAAAACTTAAAATTGACACTCATAATTTTTAAACACCCTCTTTCCCTTCCTTTCTAACAAATAAGGCTTAATATTTGTGTTATGCATGTGTATATTTATAGAAAGAAAATCTTCCATAGATTTGATTTCTAATGGTTATTATGGTGAAATATGATCTCTTTTGGGTGTAACCATGGCAACAATCTGCATTTCTTTGATACAAAATATTGCAAAAAAAGGGGGTGAACATGTCACAAAAGTCTCCAAAATTTGGTCCAAAGGAACATTTCAATCAATTACAGTGATACCTTTCCTGAATCCATAGACATATATCTATCAAGAGGTCCAAAAAAAAATCATATGCATTTCTGCTCGTTTTTCCATAACACTACAATAATTTATGGACCTATGGGCGGTACGGATAGGAAAATACGGACTGTCAAACAGAAAAATGGCCTATAAAACATGCTAAAAACAATCTAAATGTTCATATAAACCCACTAAGAAGGCTATATTATTCTTCAATTATCTAAAAATCAATTTTATTGTACAAAAACTTTCATATTTAAAAAATTCCCCATGGCCATAATGCGAAACTAACTTCTAACTGTGTATTGCTACCTTTACAAATTGACCGGTCTCACTAATTAGCGACATGAAGCGACAAGAAGCGACAAGAAGCGTCAAGAAGCGACAAGAAGAATAAATTTAGCGACAAGAAGCGACAAGAAAACTTAATAAAAATATTATTAAAATAAATATATTAAAAAAATATGCATTGACATTTTCATTTTAATATACGGAAAGTAAAGTGATATTCATTTTTTTTAAAATATTTTGATAGATATTGATAAATATAGAAATTTCCCTGTCATAGTATGATATTAATTTTTACATGTTCTTGTGTTTTAGAACAATAATATATTTACTTTATAAATTTTTTAACACTCTCTTTGTCTAAAATATAATAAACTGACTGCATGCAAAATGCATTATACGTGAATCAGTGTCCAGAAAAGATAATGTTACTAAAACGTTAATATTTTATTTGGGTATTGACTTATCAAACGATATGTATGATGTTTATGCATAGTTTAAAGTTGATTGAAGATTAAAGGTAATTAAAGACAATGTTGAGTGTTGAACAGTTGCTCACTATTTACAATTATTGTATATTCTGGCGCGTGTAGTTGTATAGTCTGACGCGTGTACAAAGTTATAGGTGTTAACTGAATGTTATTGTAGCAATACAATAAGGGACACACGTCCTTTACTCCAACCATGATTCTAATTTGTTTATCCTTAAGCGTCATTATGCTTCTATGAAAAGAAGTAATTCTTACAAGAAAATAATGAAAAAACCCTCCAAATGTTATCTTGTCTCATTAATTCCTTCATCTATCAATATAATAAAAAAAATAAAGAAAATCTCTTTATAGCTGTCAATGCAATTTGTTTTTAATATATTTATTCTAATAATATTTTTATAAGTTTTCTTGTCGTTAAATAGTCTTGTCGCTAAATTTATTCTTCTTGTCGCTTCTTGACGCTTCTTGTCGCTTCTTGACGCTTCTTGTCGCTAATTAGTGAGACCCCAAATTGACTGTCGTTTCCGGAACGCTTTTCCGCCATAACTCAATTTTTGTTGTTTGCCGGCTCTGCCGACAATAATCCTTTTAAATCACAATGAGTAAGGCTCATCCTCCAGAATTGAAAAAGTAAGTTACGACCCTAATTGTTCCTTAGTATTTACAGTATATTTTAAAGACTCAAATTACAAGGCATTTCGTTATTTGTGTTACCTCTTTCTCTACTCCGGGGAAAAAATTATTTAGCCTTCTTTACTTTTAGGATACCGAAGTTGGGGTATTTTAAAATGCATTTTATATGTCGTAGAATACATATATTTAAATTCTTCTTTAATGTTATGTGTTTGTGAGTTGGATGTGGTACTTTCATATGTTTAATATTGGACCCTAGGACTGTTTTTTTTAACATTTCCAAGAGGGTTAGTTTTAGATCAAATTTAGCTGCGCAACCGGAGCTCTCAGGTCTTTGTGATTTTTAGTGACAATTTGTGGACCATTACCATTTATGGTCCTCAAATCATAAAATATAAGAAGGACCATTAGCCATTATAGTTGGTTCCGCAGTTAAATCAAATTATACTAGTCCAAATAATTATGACATCTTGAAAGGCATTTAATATTTTGCTTTGACGCCTTGAGGAAGAAAAAAAGCATTTCAAGACGTCATAATAGACCTTATCGCTATTTGGAAATCTGCACCGAGTATTGACATCAAACAACAATCACTTTTCCATTGTGGCGTCAGATGTTTTCTATTGTGACGTCAATATTTTACGGGAACCTTTTTGATGTCCAGTAATGGTGGACAAACAGCGATAAAGTGTATTATTATTGAACAAGATCAATACTACCTGTGACTAGAATAATAGTCCCATATATTACCAACTGTTGTTTAAGGTTCATATGCCGATAATGGTGACATACAGAAACAGTGTTGAAATTTGGTACTGATAATATCAGCTATCCTACCGTAGTCTATAATCGGTCATAATGTTGGTTCGTTCGGATTTTGTTATTGTACTTATCACAAGGGAAAACTCCGCATTGACGTCACTACGCAAATACCAGCGTACAAAATTAGTGCAGAATACATTTTTTCTACTCTTCTAAATAAACATTTCTAAATATATGTTTTCATTGTTATTCTATAGTATTGTACAAAAATGCCAATTTTCTAATGGCCGTTTCAAACCTGACTTCCCAATGCCTATAAACATTCCAGAACTTCAGAAATCCCCTCTTCCAGCCTCTTTTGCTTTGTTTACATTCCATTTAGCGTCATCAATCTTAATGGCAGACCAAACAGGCCAAGCAAATCGTATTTTTAAGAATTTCAAAATAGCAAGCACCTTACGTCTTACACGATTTTCCCGCGAAAAAAAACATCCAAATTGAAAGAAAAACCTTGGGAAACAAACGATAATCATGCCATATTTTTGTTCAGGAATATAGCGTAGGTTAATAAAAAACAATATACATATATTTTTCATAAAAAAAAAATTGGTTCAATATAAAGAGATCGATATTCTGACCATAAGTAAATATCCATATAAAATTCCATTGATATCAAATTTCATGGCTAATAATGAGGTTTCCTATTGATTAAACCCCCAATTTATTGCAAACTATTTCAAAGCAGTATCATACAAACAAATATTATAATTGCCTTGTACTAAAAAATCACCTAATTGACAGTAGAGCAATTTGATTGGATATAACGATTCAATGTGTCACGTGGTTTTGAAGCCATTAGAATTTGAATGTAAACAAACCGGGTCAGCTGCTGCAGTATGGAACAACATCGTACATTCAGTGACTGAGAAACAATTATGAGTAACCAAGCTTTACAATACACAGTAATAAAAAAATAAAGCTAAGTCTACAGAAAAATAAAATAAAAAATGGCCTTAAGTGCACGACTTACCACCATTGCGGGATATCATTTCTGATTTTTTTTTTATTTAGATGACAAAAGTTAAAAAGCCGTCGTAAATTCACACCAATTCGACATCTCCACCGACAGAATAAAACAGTGCATTCATTAATACCCGGTACCCGGTACTTTTACCCGCCTCCGGAAGCGTCTGGTACCGGCAGAAAAAATAAAAATACAAAAAAAAAACGTGTAAAATTCTTTTGAAGATCGTTCAAATCTAATTTCTTTCATTCCTTGACAATCTCCGTTCTACGCCGTTCATGTGTATGTTTATAGGTGTCTTCGTCGAGGTCCGCGTTAAAGTATAGATCTATCTTCTGCCAATTTAGGCACACCTCCAAAGTAGGAGAAGTGATAATTACAAACCATGTGTCTGTATCTGTATCGTAAGAGCGCTTTAAAATGCGACGATTTAGCAGTATATTTTCAAGCGGCAAATTGTTGATGAATTTAAACAACAACAGCAATATTATGTCTAATAAAAGGAAAGCAGCTTGTATCACAGATTATTTTATGAATAAAAGGTTTAATAAAGGTGAACATTCTATGAAATTCAGAAAAATCGTTAATCGTATCAAATCAGTTCGTTTCCCGTTGGACGTTGTCACTGATCTCCGTTTTCACGATATGTGTTCTATGTTGTGATTGAATTTTTTAGTGTAAGACATCGTGAAACATTTTACAATCTGAACTAACATAACTGTTACGTTTACAAAATATAACATCTGACGAGATTTAAGACTTCTAAAATTAAAAAAAAAGACAGCTAAGAAGAAGTGAAATTTTTCAAGAACAACCATCACAACACTTAGCATATATCAAAAACGTTTGTTTGTTGTTTTGCATGAGAGCATGTTTATTGTTTATTTTGTTTAATTGTTTGCATGACACTGTTAAATTACTTACACAAACAATTGACACAGTTATGATTATAACAAAGCAATAAAAAAAAAGTTACAACAAGTTTTATTATCAATTTTTTTTAATAATATACTATGTAACTTATGAAATTTCTTTCACAAAATTGAACAAATGCAAAACATTTAATAAAAGTATAAAAACAAACAAAACATTTAAACAACATTTCACATGAAACCCCTGCGTTATAGGTCATACCATGGAAGTATTATATTGGCAATATAATACTTCCATGGTCATACATATTTTATAACTGATTACAAAATAATTATAAGCAATGTATTTTCAGATGATTACTCTAGCATGTCTAGAAAAAAAACAATTCAATGTTAACTTACCCAAAATTGAAGCAAATATTACAGACTTTACCCTATTTTTTTAAGCAAAAAATTAAGGCTGAAATCCCTAAAATCCATGAGCTTCCGGGGGGCTTTGCCCCCCTGGTCCCCCTACCAGGGCTAGCCCTGGACCCACTGGGGGCCTTAAGCGGCCCCCAGACCCCTTGCCGTTTAAGTTTGGTTCCCCCTATAATCTCAAAGGTACCTCCAGTCTAAAAAAATAATGAAACCCCTGATAAAAGTAGTCGTACTAAATATGAAACTATAAACAAACAGTTGATTGTTTACGTAATGTTCATCCCAAAATTATAAATTGTTTGCATTTTATATTCACAGATGTTCAAAGTCAATGTTGTCCTTATTAGATTCAATCATGAACTGTATTTTGTACTTGGTCTCTTCAAAAATGTTCAAACATGATTACGTAATTCAATATAATGTTGGCTATTAAAATCTTGATTTCATCCAAGATGAATCGCTGAAATGATCTGAAATTATGTCATGGCATTGTAAAATATGGTGGAAAAGGGTATGGCACCAATTTTTTTGGTGTGAAGAAAAACCGGTAGGGGATAATACCACAAGAAAACCTCTTGTAGGAAACACTATTGTTTAGACCCAGAACAGCAATTTCCACTACACAGACTAATAACTCTTTAAAAGCAAGTAATTCCTGAGTGTTTGATACGTGTATAGAATAGAATAGAATATTTTTATTTCCAAATTACAGGGCCCATAATTTTTTTTCATAAAAGATACATTTTCTTGGGTCAAGATCCATAAAAATTTGGAAGATTTATTTAAGTTTTTAAAATTATAACAAATGTTAGAAATGTATGGAAAAAAATCTTCCCTTTGGATATCATAAAGTGGGCATTCGAACAAAATATGAAGCTCATCCTCAACTTTACCAAGTGAGCAATTTAAACAAAGACGCTCCGTTCTCTAACTTAAGGTTGCCTCAACCAACTAATATGAAACTTATACACAATGCTAATTACCACCAAATACAGATCAAGTTTGAGTTTTGGTAGCATCACTCTAACCATTCTAGAGTAATGCCCCTTTATAAATGGAAAAATTGCAAAATTTTTAGTTTCTGTTCTCTGACTTAAGTTTGCCTCAACCAAATTTTATGAAACATATACACAATACTTATTACCTTAAACTTCAGATCATGTACAAATTTGGGTAGCGTCACTTTTATCATTCTTGAATTAGTCCCTTTATAATGTTGTATGCAAGCGGGGGCATCATCTGTGTCCATGGGGACACATTCTCCATTTTTTTTTAATATCTGTCTGTCTCAATTTTTAAAGAGTGAGCACTTATTCTTAATTTACAAATTGACTGTCTTTTTAAAATCCTGTAGTTCTAAATTTTTTTCTTTTTTAAAACAATCTTTTATTGAAAAATAAGTACCAAGTTTCCCTTTTTCTGAGTTAATTGTTTGATACTTCAGTCTATTCCAAAATGTTGAATAACTTTCACATAGTTTATTTTTAACATACTTACATAAAGAACCAATTGCTTGGTCAAAATTTGGTAATTTAATCTCTCTCTGAATATAATCTATACTAGAGTACCATGTATTAACATTAGAAATATGTAATTGTTTACGACATATGAATGCATCAAATAATAATCCTTCTGTATATCTGCTGAGAGTAACTAACGGAAATAAACCTGACATTGTTTTAAAGTCTATTGACTGGCAAACAAAACATATTTAAGTCTAACCTGAATATCAGCAATACTTATAATTGTTTTTGAAAAGATTTTGTACATGGAATGTTGACTTGAAAGTGTATTATTGTATACTGTTCTTTTTATTTCAGGTTCATGGAAAAGAGAGTTTGCTGTAAGTAGCCACTAAGGTTTTTTTTTATGGCCATCACCCATACATTGTATACATGTAATTGCATTTTATTTTGCATACATTACCACACAATTTGAACCTTGTGATCTGCCCCCACCCATACAAAAATAATTTAAAGTGCCTTCCAACTCCCCCATATATTTTTTCTGGAATAGGTCCTTACAGTATATTAGTAAATTTTAACCTGATGCATCGGATATATGTAAATTGTTGTGTACACATTTTTGAGCCTACATGTAAGTGGAAATATATTATTATGTTGCAGAAAATTGCATTCATTACATCACACGAGGAATTTATTATTGAAAAAAAATATTGAAATAACATTTTCTTTGAAAGTATAACGTTTTAATGAAACAGTTATGAAAATATATAATCTGGTGTTCAAAACCAGTACTAAATTTAGTTTCAACATACATGTATAACTTATGAGAACAGTTACATTTGTTGTTGTCTATTGAAAAGGATAAAAATATTTTAAAGATTTACATGGTATTTTTCAGTAAAGTTAAATGGTGGTCGTCAAATATCAGGAACATTGAGAGGTTTTGACCCTTTTATGAACTTGGTAGTAGATGAGAGTGTTGAAGAAACTAAAGCTGGAGATAGAAATACAATTGGCATGGTGGTAAGTGTAAAAACATCTATAATGGATTTTTTTTTCTTTTAGTTTATTTGTTAGGAAGTCAGAAAACTAATATATACTTTTGAAATGGATAGATTTAGTGATACTTTTCTAGACTTTGACTGGCTCATCTTGGAATGTAAGCTCTATACAAATTATTTCCTCTCAAACCAATTTGACCGATTTCAAACAAACTTTGCTCTAGTGATCCTTAAGGAATGTTTTATAAAGTTTTTTCTTGCTGTAAACCAACATAGCTTTATGGATAAAAATAGTACAAAATGTAAAATGCAAGTGATTGTCTGGTACATGTACCTTAAAAGTTGATTTTAGAACAATTTTAGATTTTTTGCCCATTATATATAACCGATAAAAAATTACTTTATATAAGTTTTATAGCAACAAAAATATCCAAGTTGTGGACAGGGATCATCAGGCATGAATAATGCATGCAGATATTTACAAGCTTTAAACTGTATGTAGATTTTTTTACATGTCCAACAGGTTTTTTACCATGTATATAAAAATTGACAAGATTTTTTCTAGATTCTGTCAGAGTAGATGAATAAGGGGAAATTATTTTCTAAGTTTGTTTCCTAATTATAGTGAAGTATATGAATTGTTATCCTTTGCCATCTTGTTGCAGGTTGTTAGGGGAAACAGTATCATACTGTTAGAGGCCTTGGAGAGGATATGATGTCTAGCTGATGTAAATATTGTGAGAAAGACCAGAGTGGATACATTATACATAATGATCATCTTTTTCATTCATTTTAACATTATAATTCATTTATGAAGTGGATAATAGTTCTGTACTTATTTTTATTTGCAATCATGGAAGAACATCTTCATTAAATACATGTATATGTATTTGGTTAAATCTAATCTTGGACATTTTGTTTCATTTTTTCTATGACATACAAAAATAAAAGTATATTTGTTGTTAATTGTATTTGTTCATGAACTGCTTGCAATAATGAATACCTGAAAAAAATTCATGATGAGCAAAACACATGGAATTTTAAATTTCTTATGTATTTTAGAAGTTCCCTATTTATCTGAGTACATGTATTAATTGAATTTTGAAATGTTCTTGTTATTCAGTTGAAGTAATGTGCTTAAAGTGTTAATTTGCATGTAAAGAGTGGAAGCTTGTTCTAGTTAACAACCATAGAAAAATTCAATAAACCCCAAAATTTAAAAGGATTTTTTGTTTTATATGTGACATAGGTGTTAATATTTTGGCAGTGTTGGTAATAATACTAATATTCAATAAGGGGCATTTCAAGAGAAGTACACATTTCAGAGAACACTTGTAAAGCAGTTTTGGAGTAGTTGGCAATTTAATTTTTTCTGTCATTTCTTGTCTATTGTCAAGAAAACTATGAGCTATGTTTAGAATAAAAAGTGTTAATTGTAAAACTATCTTCTAAAATTGAATAAAAAACTGTCTGAAAAAATCTGTCCATGGGATTATGATTTTTATACGACCGCAAAAAAATTTTGTGGTCGTATATTGGTATGACGTTGGCGTCGTCGTCGTCCGAAGACACATTGGTTTTCGCACTCTAACTTTAGTTTAAGTGAATGGATCTTTTTGAAATTTTACCATAAGGTTAAATACCACAAAAGGAAGGTTGGGATTGATTTTGGGGGTTATGGTACCAACAGTTAAGGAATTAGGGGCCAAAAATAAGCATTTTCTAGTTTCCAGACAATAACTGTGGAACGGTGTATGGATCTCTCTGATTATACTACAAGTTTCCATACCACAAAGGGATGGTTAGGATTTGCTTTGGGGGGTTATGGCTCAAATCGTTTAGGAATTAGGGGCAAAAAAGGGGGAAAAACAAGGTTGTCCTGGTTTATGGACAAATACTTTAGTATAAAACATAATTTAAAGCAGTGTAAGGGAGATAAATCAAATACATCATTGAAATTATCTCCCTTAATTGGTTAATGAACAATAAAGATAATTTAAAACAGTGTAAGGGAGGTAATCCAAATACAACGTTTTGGTTACTTCCCTTACACTGCTTTTAAATTATGTTTAAAGAAATGCATATTTATAAAGGAAGACCAGTAAAAATATCTGCAAATGTTGCATCATTTTTTTTTACAAAAAAATCCATATGAAAGATTTGACACTATATTTTTAACTATTATAAAATAGATTAAGTTAGCACTATGGTAAATTTAAATGGGTAATTATGGTTGCCAACTCCATTGGAAATTTGAATTGAGATTATAACCATATCTTGAGGGAAAGAATTTTTTGGGGAAAAAAAGGGGGGGGGGGGAATAAAAAGAAATTGTGGGGGGTCAATTTTTGAAAATTTCAGATTTCAGAAATGAAAAAGAATTATTCTTCAAATATTATTTTTTTTTCAAATTTCAAATATTGAAAAATTTCAAGAAGTAATCTTTAATTGCATAGTATGGCGCATTAGATTTGTAAAATCTTTGATCACATTTATTTATTTGTTATGCCGAATCTAACAGTGTATTTAGATTTTTAATTTTGGGTCCAGTTTTCAAAATAGTCTACATTAAGGTCCAAAGGGTCCAAAATTAAACTTTGTTTGATTTTAGCAAAAATTGAATATATGAGGTTCTTTGATATGCTGAATCTAAACATGTATTTAGATTTTTGATTTTTGGCCCAGTTTTCAAGTTGGTCCAAATTGGGGTCCAAAATTAAACTTTGTTTGATTTCAACAAAAATTGAATATATGGGGTTCTTTGATATGCTGAATCTAACCATGTATTTAGATTTTTTATTTGTGGACCCCGTTATCAAATTGGTTCATATTGAGGTCAAAAGGGTCCAAAATTAAACTTTGTTTGATTTCATCTAAAATTGAATTATTGGGGCTCTTTGATATTCCAAATCTAACCTTGTATTTAGATTTTTAATTTTGGGTCCTGTTTTTATACGCCCGTTTACGGGACGTATTATGGTATACCGTTGTACGTCCGTCTGTCCGTCCGTCGTTCGTCAACATGTCGGACATTAACTCAAAAACGCTTTAACCAATTTGCTTAAAACTTTGGTGAATTGTTTATATCTATTGACGTGAGCTCCCTTTCGTTTTTTATAAATTTTAGATTTTACGTTTCCGAGTTATGGGGTTTTATTCATTAAAAAAAGGGGGATTTTCCAGTTTTCGGACAATAACTCAAGAATGCTTTCACCAACTTGCAAGAAATTTTGGTTAATTGTTTATATCTATTGACATGAGCTCCCTTTGGATTTTTATAAATTTTAGATTTTACGTTTCCGAGTTATGGGGTTTTATTCATAAAAAAAGGGGGATTTTCCAGTTTTCGGACCATAACTCAAAAATGCTTTCAGCAGTACTCATGAAACTTTGATGAATTGTTGATATCTATTGATGTAAGCTCCCTTTAGAATTTTATAAATTTTAGATTTTACATTTCCGAATTATGGGGTTTATTCATTAAAAAAGGGGGGATTTTCCAGTTTTCAGACAAAAACTCAAAAATGCTTTCAGCAATTCGTATGAAACTTTGGTGAAGTGTTTATATCTATTGATGTAAGCTCCCTTTAGAATTTTATAAATTTTATTTGTTTATAGTCGGACAACAGATTTACTAAGTATTGTGCTACACCACAGTGTATTGCACAACAGCAAGAAATCTTTAATTGAATATAAATTCAATTCATATAACCAACTTCAAGTTCTTTGACTACATTTATTCAGAAACCTATAATAGATGTATGTCAAATATTTAGTTACAATCCAAATTCAGACCTGTATCAAGCTTGAATATTGTGTCCATTTATGCCCCAACTGTTCAGGGTTAGACCTCTGCGGGCGTATCCAGCTGCGCTCAGCGAAGCAGTTTATTTAAATTGGTCTACATTAAGGTCCAAAGGGTCCAAAATTAAACTTAGTTTGATTTTAACAAAAATTGAATTCTTGGGGTTCTTTGATATGCTGAATCTAAACATGTGTTTAGATTTTTGATTATGGGCCCAGTTTTCAAGTTGGTTCAAGATAGGGTCCAGTATTTAAACTTTGTTTGATTTCAACAAAAATTGAATATATGGGGTTCTTTGATATGCTGAATCTAAACATGTATTTAGATTTTTGATTATGGGCCCAGTTTTCAAGTTGGTCCAAATTGGGGTCCAAAATTAAACTTTTTTCGATTTCAACAAAAATTGAATATATGGGGTTCTTTGATATGCTGAATCTAACCATGAATTTAGATTTTTTTTTTGTGGGCCCTGCTATCAAATTGGTTCATATTGAGGTCAAAAGGGTCCAAAATTAAACTTTGTTTGATTTCATCAAAAATTGAATTATTGGGGTTCTTTGATATTCCTAATCTAATCGTGTATTTAGATTTTTAATTTTAAGTCCCGTTTTTTAAATTGGTCTACATTAAGGTCCAAAGGGTCCAAAATTAAACTTAGTTTGATGTTAGCAAAAATTGAATTCTTGGGGTTCTTTGATATGCTGAATCTAAACATGTGTTTAGATTTTTGATTATGGGCCCAGTTTTCAAGTATGTCCAAGTTGGGGTCCAAAATTAAACTTTGGATATTGGACCATAATAGGTAAATTAAAAAAATTCAAGTTCTTAGACCACATTCTTTCTGTGTCAGAAACCTATGCTGTGTCAAATATTTAATAACAATCCAAATTCAGAGCTGTATCAAGCTTGAATGTTGTGTCCATACTTGCCCCAACTGTTCAGGGTTCGACCTCTGCGGTCGTATCAAGCTGCGCCCCAGCGAAGCATTTTATTATATGTCTGTGTTTGACAGGAAATATTATGTTATACCCTAGTCTCTTCATCCATCGATATGTCAACATTTCGTTCAATAACTCCAATTTGTTTAAATTGTTCTTCAATGGCACAGTGGCCATGGTCTAGCTCATCTCCTGTGTCACTAGCCTGTCCACACTGAGGTTGTGAGTTCCATTCCAATCTTAATTAATTAGGATTGTCAGTTATCCTGCCAAAGTTGATAGTTCACTCCAGCTTCCTCGACTATTAAAAACTGACCGCCATGATGTAGCCAATAATGCTGCAAGTTGTGTTAAACACAGGCAATCAATCTCCCTTTTGATCATGAATATTTTCTTGTTTGTCATTCCAGAGTTGGGGATCTTTGACTGAGATCTCTGTTTATTTTAGTTTTGAGCTCTCTGGGTCCAAGGGCCAAGTGAGCTTTTCTCATCACTTGGTGTCTTGTTTTTATACGACCGCAAAAAATTTTTGCGATCGTATATTGGTATGACGTCGGCCGGGTCGTCGTCGTTGTCCAAAGACACATTGGTTTTCGCACTCTAACTTTAGTTTAAGTGAATGGATCTCTATGGAATTTTACCATAAGGTTCAATACCGCAAAAGGAAGGTTGGGATTGATTTTGGGGGTTATGGTACCAACAGTTAAGGAATTAGGGGCCAAAAAATAAGCATTTTTGTAACTTCCAGACATAACTTGTGTGTTAGTGTATGGATCTCTCTGACATTGTACCACAAGGTTCCATATCCCAAAGGGAATGCTGGGCTTGATTTTGGGGGTAATTGCCTCAAAATTTTAGGAATTGGGGACCAAAAAAGGGGCAAAAAACAAGCATTTTTATATGGACAAATACTTTAGTACAAAACATAATTTAAAGCAGTGTAAGGGAGATAAATCAAATACATCATTTGAATTACCTCCCTTACACTGCTTTTAAATTATGTATAAAGTAATGGTTAATGAACAATTAAGACAATTTAAAACAGTGAAAGGGAGGTAATCCACATACAACGTTTTGATTACTTCCCTTACACTGCTTTTAAATTATGTTTAAAGAAATACATATTTATAAAGAAGACCAGTAAAAATATCTGCAAATGTTGCATCTTTTTTTTTTTTACAAAAAAAATCCATATGAAAGATTTGACACCATATTTTAAATTC